GATGAGAGCACTGTGGAACCCACGGGCGTGTGTGATCTTGTAGGTTGTAGATAGCGGCCCTCTCTCGTTTCTGCTGGACGAATGGCGGGTGAGCGGAACACCGTTGAGTACCTGGATCGGGCCTCGTCGCTGCTTCGATTTAAAACGTCCCTGGGACGTTCCTGCGCGATGTGCCTTCGCCTCTTTCACCCGTGGGGATAGATAGGAAGTTGACCAATGGCAATTTGTCGTGGTCGTGATGAAAGCTACGGAGGACCCGAAAACGAAGAGGCACGCGCGGGGGTGGGACGGTGAATGTACGGTTGAAATGGACAAGTGTCTCTTCAAGAAACAGTGCGAATGACGTAGGAGCCAACAAGAGAGATAAAAGAGGCCGTGACAAGATGCCGTTTGGTGATGAATATCCAAGAGACGGTGACACGATGGCAACAGGAAGAGTGACGGCGGGCAGTAGATGGCCAGTTAGGTGACGATGGAGGCGAGGACGAGATAAGCTTGGCTTATCGGCGTCATTTGGCTGTGGGTGATATCAAAGAATAACGGAATGCGTCTCAAACAGCAGAGGTGTTTTGTTGGTGGGAAGGTGTCCTACGCACTCATTGAAGCTGATGACCCGGGCCAAGGAGCTGACGAATGAACGACGATGTAGACGAGCAAAAACATAAAGCACAACGGCCACCGAAATGAGACGAGCAAAAAAAGGCAAGATAGCGATATCGTAACGGATGGGAAGTAGAAACTGCAATAGGTGGGGAGCAATGGGAGAGGGGTGTGAAAGGAGTACAAGACGGGGGATGAAGCAGTTGGAGACCCAGGGACAACGAGGGTTTTGTCAGAATAGGAACACTTGAAGTAAGAAAGAAAGAGGTTTGGGGATGAAGATGTGCAGTGCAGGTTGACAAGGACAAAAAAATAGGGCCGGCGGCGAGCAGACTTGTCAGAAATAAGCAGATCCAGCAATCTAGAAAGCGAGATGCCGGTTCTTGGATTGGTCCAGAGATCTGGTAGTGCGAACGGGTAGTGGCCGTGTTGGTGCCTTTTGCCCTCTTCTCTCTTTAGTCCTTTTGTCCTGGGGAAAGTTTGATGGCAGCTGGGACTGTCGCGCCAGTGGTGGGTGACGCCCTCGGATCTTGGAGTTGAGTCAGATCCGCCGGGTCAGACCACCGTTGTCAGTCGATGGGGATCCTCTCGTGACGTCGACTGGGACACTGGCCGTACCTTGCTTTTCATCGGTTTGCAAACTGCCTCTCGAGTGCCTCTCGTGTTTTCCGCCCGTTTCATCCCTTGAACCTTTTTTTGGGGTTGTCGTTGTAGGGCGTGGCAGCCTCTCTCTTTTTCGTCAGTGTGGGGCCTGTGGACAAACAGACCCGAAGCTAGCGCGGCTGTTTTGCACGCTTGAGAGATATCTGGGCGACGTCGATTGTTTCGGGGGGACGGAGATGCTGTGAGGTTTGTCGCAGGGGTCGTGATAATTCTTGCATGCAACGTAGTCAGAAGTCTTTTGGATGACAATGTGGTGGTTGTGTTTTGATGCTAAGTTGTAGCCGGTCCCCTCTTTCTTGGGGAAGTCATCCGAGGCTGGCTTCCTGCCCGTCTTTTGTTCTTGCAACAACCTTTTTTGGCAAGCGTGCCCTTTGCTGCTACCTTATGAAAAAGAGAAGATATTACGTGATAATAAAAGACAGCCGTACGACTACACAGGCTCACTGGTGGCACCTTCCGTGATCGATGCCCAGCGACATACTCTGTACGCACAGTATTGATTGAGATGGCAAACACTCCTTCCTTGCGCGGCTGTGCTGAGTCTGGTCGCACGCTGGATATGGCAGCGAGGCAGGTGCGACAGGGGCCCCTGGTCTGGGTCCGTCGTCCGTTGTTAGTCTTGGTACTGATAAGGGATGAAAAGCAAACATAACAGAAAAGAAAGAAAAACGGGTCTTATCGCGTTTTGTGAACATCAAGAAATACATAATAGGAAACCAGGAGGGTGCTCGGAGGGGCAATATGGGGAAAGAGCCAACTGTCTGGCAGTGTCACAAAAACGATGGAAAGAGCCCGAAATTGACGTTAATTGGGAAAGAATGGCCTCTTATTGGACGGCGTAAAGGCAAGAGTCTTGGCTGTGACCCTACTCTGTAATACCTCTGCTGCTCTCTACCTCCGCGTTTAGATGTTCTGCAGCACCTAAACTCCGGGGTAGACTGGCACCGCCAAACAAATACCAAACTGTTAAGCCCGCGAATCCGGTACGGACAGCATGGGACACGCGACGCTTTTGCAGTGCACCGGAGGCACGACATTATGGCGAACAATTCTGCGTCCGGAAAGTTGCGGATAGCAGCTTCCCTGGGATGACCCCCAGGGATGCCAGCAAAGGCAAGTGCAGACAAAAGTGTAGACAAACTGCAAGCAGTTGCGCCCCTGCAGGCAATGGAATACCCTGATTTCCCGGCCGTGGTTGTGCTCTGTAGCGGAGCCCCTAAGTATGACACGGTCTAGCGTGGTACTTTATGTTGTGTGGGACGCATGCACGAATGGATGTATCGCTGCGCTTCCAACCCAAAGGGCGGGTCAGCTCTTCGCTGTGACGGCAGGCACTACGCAGGGACTATTACCACATAAAATGCTAAGGAAGGACGGCATGCGCGAGCGACGCATTCGCTCCCTGGCTCCTTCCACCAGCAGCATGTTTATCTGTAGGCGGGACCCATTTCGACAACCAAACGATTTAACGTAAGGAAAGTGCGAGCCGCAAGGCACGCAGCGAGTCACAGCGCACGATACGCGGCGGCGCAGAAAAGGGAAGGAGGGGTCTAGTCATGCACCGTAATCGCAGCCTTCTGGATGGACCAGATTTATTGACATCATAGCGGGCCCTTGCGCACGTGCAAGAGGGAAAGACAGTGGTGGGGAAAACGGGCGTGGATTCTCCAGGCGACAGGGGCCAATTTGTCGTGTGCACAAGAAGCAAAATGCGTCAAAAATACGGGCGCAAATTGCCAGCGAGAGGCAACAATACCGCTTCACGACGACAAGAACACACGAACGAGAATATGAAAGCATGACCGGAGCAGTCCGCGACTAGATACAACCCCTGAATTTGCAGAAAAGCCACGGAAGAATACCTGCGGCTGTCGTGACAAGCGAAAGGTGAGCTGATCAGCAACGTTGACTCGAATAACGTGCACCGGTGCGCTGTACAGAACAGAGAATGAAGGCAAGATTATATTCCTGGTTCGGGCCAACGCAAGTGCTCCTTCTGTCGCCCAGTTAGAGTGCAGCACTGTCGCCGGGCAGCTTGGAAACAGAAAAGGCAAATGGGAAAACTGGGAAAACGGGGGTAGCGGTGGGACTGTGGGGTCTCCAGTCGTGAAGCAAGGCCAACACACCCATTTTATGCAGTGGGGGACCGACTGAAAGGTATTCTGTTGACTGGTGGGCGAAGTAGTGGCCGTTGCGGCAATGTTTCGGGAGAGAGGCTGTTGTCGAGATGGATACGGACGCAGCGTTGCCCATTCACCCGAATGCAGACTTCAGGCTCGACAAGAAATGAAAAAAAAAGAACGAAAAAAGTGTCGAAGACTGGTCTCGCAGCCCGTCCTGCAGATGCAAAACGCATGCAATGGCAGGGGACTGCGGTTTCTGGCGAACCACCTGGCCTGCATTTGGCTCGACACGTCCATTTTTTAATTGCGCTGCCAAGTCGAGTTTATCGAGGCAAGTCGATTTGTCAGTCGGCCCCAGTTGTCAATGAAGCATTTCTCAAGGGCATGACAAAGAAGAAAGACGAACATCTTCCCATGCCCGAGATAAGATACGAGCCGCATCGGTCGAGACGGTGAGAGGGACGGAGCTCCGAGGCCGAGAGGGTGGGCGACAAAGACGCAGAGCACTGCTGAGCCCAATGGCACAGCACATCGACCAGGAATGGCATGCACGACCACGCACGTGAGTTGACGTTGTGCAGATGGCCGAGCAATGGGCAATACTGGATGCGGCCGATTGACACCGGTTCGTGTATCTGGTCTCGTGCTTGCGTCTTGTGTGTTTACTTGCTTTTCTTTCGTTTGTGTTTCTATTTTTTTTTTCGGCTTTGTCTAGTTTTGTTTTTCGCCGCACACTCCCAAGTGGACGCTAATTCTGTTCCTGGGACCCCCGCGTGTACGGCTCCACGTGGGAGGAAGAGAGGAGGCGAGCGAGAGAGATGCCGTGCGTGAGGGGAAAGAGGAGAAGGTCACGATGCTTCGGTTTGGCTGACCGTAGGTACCCGCCAACGGCCTGTGTCCAACATCGTGGCAGACAAGACATGCTAGATCGTGTGTGCCCCAGCCCAGCTCTCGCTTCGTCTCGTCCGCTATGCCGTGCCCGTGCACTTCTTCGGCATCGTGGCTGGCTAGAGAAGGTCTCGTGTCCCCTTTTCAGACGGTTTCTCTTCGACGTCGGTATTGTCTCTTTTCTTCTGCCCTGGCTGCCCCTCTTTTGTCTAAGCCGGACCTGTTCAGGCTTAATACAAAACGTCGACCAGCCCCAAAGATCTCTCTCGATGTCGGTGTGCACTTGCTCTATTATATTTTTGGTTCAGACACGAGTCGTCAACCTGTGAAGGCATCGCCATTACGTCCAGTTTAGTTGCCAGTGTGTCATTTCTCAGGTCAATGAAGATGCAGCAAAACCTGACTTGAATCCATATTACCATCTATCCAAGCTGGATACGGTGGCAATCGGCAACCAACCTCAGCCAAGTGGTACTTAAGAACGACGAGCCTTGCAATTTATACAACAGTTCATACCGCCCTCTGTTTTACTTGACAAGTTTAGTGCATATCATCGGCAACCTATGACGATATCGACAAAAGAAAATGACGACCACACGTTGGATACAAGAAAAGGAACGACCATACAACACAGCAGAACGATGATCAATCCATAGGTAACGAGGTTCAATTTACAAACAAAAACAAATGGATTTCTCACGAAGACCGCGGCGCCACCCTACCCACCTACAACTCCAGATCTAGCGGCTTCACCGAGTAGGATGTCACGGGCCCGTACTTTGGGAACAGATTGTCGGCCGACATGGGTGTGTAGCTGCGCTGCTGCACGGTTATGTTCAGACTTGGGACCGAGGACACGAGCACGGCGCGGCCGTCGGGCGTCTTAATGACGACACTGATGCCGCGGAGTCTGGCCAGGACATCGTCGTTGTTGTTGAAGACTGCAGGCAGTGTCCGCCGCGTGGCCTCGTGGACAAGAGCGCGACGCAGCGGCGTCACCGAGTAGCTGGTGCCGGTCTGGGGCATGGACAGGATGCTGGTGCTGCCGATGCGGGTGGTGTCGCGGTGGTGGCCGGCTTTGGTTTTGCCGCCACCTTGGCCATTGAGGTGCAGCTCGATGGTGCAGGGCAACGGCAGCTGGGTGCGGTCGACGCTGACTTCGATGCTGTAGTCATTCGTGCTGAGCGCGCGGGCATTGGGGATGACGGCGGCCGGGTGCAATGCGGCGGCGGCGGCAGTGGTGACGGCGGTGGTGGGGTCGATGCCGATGCCCTTGTTGTCGCTCGTGGCGGCACGCGCCCGGCGGATATGCGGCAGTTTCCACCACCCGAGACGACTAGCGCTCGCTGCCTCTCTCTTCGATTTCCTCCTCGCCGCAACACCGCTCGCCCGCGGCCCGTACAAGTTGTTGACGGAACTGCGCACCGAGTTGGCCAGGTCGGCAGGCGCCAGCGACCAGTCGTCGATTTCTGGATAGGTGTACCCAAAGACGGCCATGGCCTCGACGGACCTGCTGGTATAGAAAACCAGCGGACTGCTGCTGTCGCCCGCAACAGACGGGCCCATGAACGGCTTCAGTGGGCTGTTGGCCGTCATGGGTCCGCTGGGCGTGCCGTACAGGGCGTTGCCGTGCTGACTGGTGGTGAAGACGGGGTCGTTGAAGTTAATGGCCTGCCACATGGCGTAGAGGCGGTCAACGTTGGCGTGGTGCAGCATGAAGATGGGGTCGAAGCCCGACCAGTTGAGGTCGCCCATGTGGCCCGAGTGGCCGGCCACGGAGAAGCAGGCAATGTCGTTGTGCACCACATTGTGCGGCTCCTCGAAGCTGGCGCCTGCGTTGGACATGGTCGCCATTGCCTCGAATGTTGTGCTGTGTGTAAAGACGGCATACTGGAGAGAAACGTTAGCTGTGTTTCTCGCTTCTGTCCCCCGCTTCTTTGTCCTCGCTTCGCTCCGGATCCCACTCGCTGAACGACTCACCACTTTATCTTGCAACTGTCCGCCGTCAACCCCCATCACACTATTCACCTGGTCCTCGTCGCTCACGCCCGCCGCCGCGCCCGACACCGTCGTGCACCGCTTCGTCTCGTTAAACTGCGCCAGCGACCCGCCGAAGCCGCCGCCATGGAACGGGAAATTGGGGAACTGGAAACTGACGAGGGGGTTGCGCATGGTGGCTGGACCCGCGGGACCGTTAAAATTGACAGTCGGGCCCACCACGGCGGGCGGCAGGCTGGCGTCCTGGGCCCAGTCCCAGTAGGGGATGCGGAACGTCTGGGCGGCGGCCGTGTAGGCGTCGACGGTCTCGACTGGGTACTGCTTGGCGGCCTTGAGGACGTGGCGGGCGAGGATCTGTTCAAAGAGGGCGAGGTAGGGGCGGTGCCAGCTAATGAAGGTTGTTTGCTGTGCACGTCAGTGGCCGTGGCTGGAGTATAAATGAAGGACGAATGAGGAGAGATACAACATACGCCGTGGGGACAATATCCCGAGTTGGCACCACCGGTGGTCTGGTTGACGCCGTTCCATGGCAGGAACGGGAGTCCGTGGATGCCTGCTATCTGGTAGTACGACTCGATCTCGGTCATGTCGTCCCGCTGGAACATGTCCAACGCCTGGATGTAAAGATCCCTATCGATTCGGTCAGCGGTCAACATTCGACGACACCGATGCCAGCGTTGCCCTCCCAACTAACCAATGTGGACCTGCTTCATAATAGAGGTCGTTGATGTTGATGCGTGAGGGTCTCTGGCCTGTGCTGTTGTTGATGCCGCTTGAGACACCGACGACGATGCCCGGAGGCGTGGTTGAGGACTGCGCCGTCGCCACTGGCAGAAGCTCAGACAACAGCCAGGATGAAAGGGCCACTGCCAAGAGCGGCCGCCCAAATGACGAGATGGAGATGGACAGAAGACGCATGGTGGTGGTTGGGCCAACAAGCAAAGGGACGACACGTTACACGTTAGTTGGACATGAACGAGAGTTCCGTGGAGAGAGAGGAAATGGGAGAGAGACGGTGATTGAAGATGGGGAAAAAAAGAGTGACAGATGCGGAACGGTTTGTCGTTCAAAGCTCTCCCTCCATCTGCTCATCTGGTCCAAAGACAAACTCGAGGGGCACGACTGTCGACGGCGTACTTGTATATTTATATGATTTATGTGTTTTATATGTTGTCAGTGTTTTGCATATTTATATTGCCCGTCTTTGCATACAAGCACTTCCAGCCATCGTTTGTCTTTCCTTTACATGTCTCCAGCCCGGTTTGTTCAGCTCCAGCGGTGGTCTAATTGCTTTTTTTCATGCTTCATGTTGTAATTCCCGTCTTGTGTCACCACAAGTGGGAATACAAGCTTTATTCAGTATTGACTACCCCGGTTGTGGCTTCAAGGGGATTGTACAGAGTCAATACGACCGACCACACGGCAACACACCGAAAAAAAACACACCAAAGACAAACGACAGGCTCTCCAAACTCCAAAAGTGAGGCTCCTCTTCGGCTCGTTACACCCAGCCCAGGAATACGCAAACCAGGCAACACTCTGCCATCTTGCTCAACTGGAGGCCACTGAGACCAGAAACACGGCGTCTCTGTGCTTGGAGACGGCCCGTTCCATGTGTTCCTGTGCTCTTTGAAGTGTCCTGCATACTTGCTGTGCTCCTGCGTCCTGCGTCCTGCTTCCAACCGCATTACACTTTACGCACAACACACTCGCAGCATGTGCAGCGGCACACTGGGGCTTTCGGTGGTAGTAGATTGTATGGTGTTGCAGCTAGTAATGGTGTGGAATACAAAGCCAGAGCATAACAAAGTGCGTATTTGTCGATATGTATAGTGGAGGAGGCGGTCGACAGTGGACTACGCGAGATAGAGCTCAAAACATGTAGGAATTGGCCGATTTGAAAAGACGTAACTCGACACTGACAAAGTCAACAAACAGTCGCCGATCTTAACTGGATGTTCTAGAAGCTCTCTAAGCTTTCGAACAATCTCGAACCTCATACGCATGGACGGATCAGGGGCATTATTTTCCGACAATCCTTCTCTCGTCGAAATCGTCGCCCGTGGATTTTTTTCTGTCTCCGTCTCCTCTCTGTGGTTTCTGACCTGTCCTGGTCTGTCTCATGACTGAGTCTGTCTCGAAGGCGTATATCTATGACCTTAACTTACATCGCCTTGATATGGGACAGCGCATAAAAACGCCATATTGCAATGCTCTACCTCTGTATATATGCTCCCCGGTGTAGGACAAATTAACCATAACATAAGAGCACAAGGCGATACGTAAGGAATGCGAGATACGCCAAGTCTCCAATGCTCTCGTCTCTTGAGTGTGCCTATTTTGAAGTATGTCTTCTATCCTAACCAGTTACAATTATCTGTCATTTTAGTCTTCTTTTTACTCCCTCATATCCATGCAAAGGTATGGTGGAAAGATGAAAAGAAGCACTCTGGAAGACACGAGCCGACCGGTGTGCAGTATCAAGACGGGAATTGGAAACGGAAAGTGAGAAATACATTGGAATACGAACCATTCCCCTATTGGGCTCGACAAAACAAACGTGCTCGATGCTGCAGCTTCTTCTGTGTCTTGCCTCTGTTGTTCTCCCACCTTTATGTTGTGAAACTGGCGTTGTACGACCGCCGTATTTGGATACGGGAACGGGCGACAACAGAAGACAGAGATACGCGCCGCATTGTTGTTGTCTGCCCCTGGTATGGAACACACAAGAAAAGCAGGCGTCATCCTGGAAAGCTGTGTGCGTTGTTTCGTCTCTCATTATCGCCCATGTCCTTGTCTTTGTCTCTCTATTTTGTTCCTAGAACGATCAAAATAGAAACAAGAGCCGGATTTTGAGTGCAATTGTCTCTCCTTGTTCCGTTTGTACACCATTGTTTGTCCTTCTCCGTGAGGCTGAACATTGGCGGCAGTTTTTTCCAGGGCACTCGAGGGTCATCGTCAGAGAGAATGGAAGCAGCAACACAAAACGCCGTTTGCAGAACGCCACAGACGCGGTGGACACCGACAACAAATTGGATGACAGTTGGCAACCTTCAAGTGACAAAACGGTACAAAAGAGGCGAACCGAGGAGACGTGGCACTCACCTGTGGCTTTCTCGTTCTCTTTCATCTGGAGTCAGTGCATGAACGTATGCGAGTGAGTGGGTTCCAAGAAAAAATTCCAGAGGGTGAGAAAGCAAGCGCAGAGGCTCTTTGAAAACTATTCAGTGGCCTGGCAAATGTATTGAACGGAGTGCCCGCCTTGTCTTGCTTTGGATCTTTCCGAACTGCTCTGTTCCCGCCTTGTCTCGGCGACCATGTTCGGTCGGGACAATATTAAGGTTGTAATCGAACGAGAAAAACAAAATTAAGGAAAAAAAAAGAGGAGGACACGCCCGATGAAGAGTCCAGCATAGAGATTCAATTCGTACTCGACGGTTGTGCGACTGTTGTGGGACGTGGCACAGAAGCAAGTCGAGGGAGGTGCAGAATGCACTGAAAGGAGAGACTCTCAAAGGAAAGATAATGGCATTTTAAATGGACGGCTATTATGGCAATGATAATCGAGCGACTGTCAGGGCAGCAATTGGTTTAAGGGGGACAATAAAAGTTCTTGTTTCAAAGAGGATGGCAAGCAGGTCATATCCAAAATTGTACAAAATAATATTAGGAATGTAGAAAGTAAGTAACATGGTATGATGCCAGAACAAAAAATGTCAAGAGAGCCGGGACGGCTCTTGTATCCTGATAACTCCTTCGTGTACAAAAAACAAAACTGTATAAGTCGCGTCTATCGTGTGGTCGTTTCAATCCCATCAATTTTCGGTCGCAGCAGTGAAAGCTCCTTTGCATATCTTCAATCGTCATATCATTCACCCTTTCGAGCTTTTTTGTCGCCCATAGCGTCCGCTCTACAGAGACTTCTCCAGCAGCACCAGGTCCCGGAAGCCCTCTTTCCACTGCTTGGACTGGTCTGCTGTGGGCTTCGGCAGTGGGCTACGCGCATAGCCGCCGTACCCGCTCCATGCCTCGAGACCGGCCTTGACACCGACAACACCGCCCTGGATTGCCGTCCAGTCGCCCTGCGACAGAGTCTCTTGCATGGCCTGAGCCTCAGTCAGACGGCCCTGGTTGAACAGTTCGATGGTCTTGACGCAGGCCTTGGGCGCAATGTTTGCCAGGCCGGCCAGGATGCCGTGGCCACCAGCAACCAGTGTCTGGACGGTGAAGTCGGCCGAGCCACCAAGAACAAGGAATTCAGGAGCGTCATCGCTCCCGGAACCTTCCTTCTTAGGGAACATCTTCCGCGTCGCCGCGGCCACTCGGTTCAGCTTGCCCGTGTTGCCGCACGTCAGCTTGACGCCCACGATGTTGGGGTGCGCGGCGAGTTTCACAATAATGTCGGAAGACAGATCCATGCCATTGACGGCACCGGGGAAGTTGTAAATCAGCAAGGGGATCGGCGACGCGTCTGCAACGGCGCAGAAGTAGTCCAGAATGGTCTGTGACGATGGTGCAAAGAGCGGAGCGTAGTAGGATGGTGGCAGCACCAGGGCGAAATCGCCACCTGAGGCCCAGGCATCCCGGCACAGCTCAATGGTCTCTCGCGTGCTCTGCGTTCCGCAACCCACAATGATGGGCATGTGTGCGAATCCAGCCGAGTCAAGCGCCACACGGGTAGTCTTCGTGACGAGGCGGCGCTCCGCGTGGGTCAAGTGCACGGCCTCGCCATTGGAACCCTGGGTGGCCAGGCCCATGACACCGGTCCGTGCAAGACGCACAGCGTGCTGTGCGATGGTGTCCGTGTCAACGTTTTCGGTGACTGGGTCGAAGAAGCACATGGTGGGGACGTAGACGCCCGGCAACAAGCGGCGCTTGCTGGTGTGGAAGTTGTCAACAACGACGTCGCCATCATCGAGAGACGACCGGCTGTCAAAGGAGCTGCTGAGTGGCGACGAGTTGGCAGCTGTTGAGTCCACGAAGCCACTTAGCCGCAGGCCAGATGATGCTGCCGCAGCCGGGATCCGTGGACCGAAGCGAGTAAAGCCAGCTGTGTAACTGCCAGCTGGCGAGGGAGCATCGTTGTGAGGTGACATGATGCTTGCGTGTGAATATGGAAGAGAGATGGTAAGGAGATGAGGGGGATGAGAGGAGGAGGAAAAAGGAGAACGGAGAGCTTTGTTCTTGGAAAATTGATGTGTATCTCGTATGCACTCGGAGGAGATAGAAAAGTGAAAGTGGACGACGAGTGTTTCAAAGAGAGAGTGATGGGGGGATGTGTTCAAGATAAATACTTGGACTACTCGTGCAAGTGACGAGCGAAGAAGTAGAAGGTAGTGCAGTTTAAATTGAGTAGACAAAAGAAAGACATAAATAAAATAGCAACGAGGGAAGAAGAGACGTGTCGCCAGTCGAGAGGGGGGGGGGGGGTGTATGGAACAAGAGTCCGAAACCAGCAACTGACGCTTGTCGATAACTGGTGCTTGTAAGGAGTTAGGAAGTGGAAAGAAGAATAGTGGGCAGAAAAAGACGATAGAGAAATCGAAACGAAGGCGCAGTAGCGCAGTAGGATCATGAAAAAAAAAAAAAATACTAGAGTCCGACATAAAACAAATCAAGATTTGCAAAAAGGGATCCCAAATCATGGCCAGGCCTCGAAGACCTGGTCGTGGCACTGGCGCACCTCTCTCCCAGCCCTGTGGATACGCCGGCCGGTTTTGGGACAAGATGGATGATGAATCGGCAAACCACGCGGACAGTCTTGCAATATTTTCTTCCTGCCCTGTGTCTTTTCGGTGATTTTATTCATGTCGAGGTTTTTGACTCGTCAGTGTCTCCGATGAAGGGTCAGAGCTTGGCCTAAAACAGACAAGCTGGTGAAGCAACGTTGGATAAGAAGGAGGGTGGTGATCAAGATG